GCGATATAATGGTTACCCTTTGTTGGAATATCTTTAAGACCAGAAGGCTTCGCTAGCAACAAGAGGAAGATAATACACGTGTCTAGAAAGAAATTGTTTTCGTCACCACTAACACTATAGGGGCGTGAATACAATTGCTGTACAGCATCAAAGTCTGAAAATAAACGTACTGCAATATTCATATCACACAAAACACAATAATAATAGGCTAGCCAAAAAATTTGACTCCCCAAAGGTCATCTTTCCATGCTGTTTGGGATGTCTATTGAGGGATGGAATAATTTTTTGGTATTATCTAAATTCATGTGGTTTTTGGATTAGCTTACGTAATGCATGAACGAACTTTCAACTTATTCTTTTATGCAATATAAATAGTCATTTATGCCAGAGAAACGATTCCATATGCACCCTCAAGGTTTACTACTTTCTTGTCCAATCGTCTGTGAACAATTTCAAACGGTTCCAAATTTAAACAGAAGCGGAATATTTCTTGATGTTTTTATATTCTTTAGAAGAATGAAGCTGGAAATTTAACAAAAGTGAAGTATTTGTGATTTGGATATCTTTAGATTTCCCCTGTAATAATTACTTAAAGGTAAGCATTTATTATAAATTAGTGTGATCAATCAAGCAATCAAAGAAAGGATAGCTTTGGAACAAACTTCTAGAATATCTGATTGCAAGACAAAGAGCTGACGAGTTTCAATGCATACAAATTTGCATTGCCTTTATAGAAATTTGATAAAAAAGGAATAAATAAAGTTCTGGTTTGTCATAAAAATTTTGCAATGTTCAGCCATGAAATTATCAGTTAAGAAGATGTTATTCCCTGAAAAAATCACTTCCTTTCATATGGGTGTTTCAAATAAGTTAGAATGATTTTTTTATCCACCAAAAATGATATCGTTAACTTTTAAAACAGATTAAAATGTTTAATAAATAAATGAACAGTTAACTATAAGTTTTCCACTTTGAAATAGACAATATGTAACTGTACATTTCATTTTGGTGAAAAAAACTTCAAAATCAAAAGGTGATTTGAAATGAATGTTGAATTTTTTAAGAGTGTCGATGAAAAAAAAAAGAAACAGTAACTACATGCATGTATGAATATATATGTATAAAGTAATTATTATAGTCCAGTCAATTTGTTATGAAACATCAAACTACTTGCAACACAATTTTTAATGTTATAAATAAACTCTAGAATGCACAAAATAAATATTAATACTATATTAAGGCTAGCCATATATGGAAAATGAGCTGCATGTGTCAGTAATATACAATGCCATGTATAGATCTTGACGTACACTGTACAGCAACAATTTGAGTGTTGGATGTAAATACAGTACTCGTGTTTATAATTTACTATATATTTTAATTTTAAGAGTTTCCTTTAACATATGTCCTTTTGGATTTGATGTAACACTGATTAATGTTAACTTCTTTAATATAATTATAGAATGTATGTGTACTGCTCGTTATCAGAATGTTTTATGGTTCAGTTATGGTTACCTAAGCATTTTGTTAAGAAGTAAATATGCAAATAATTATCTACAAAACATTTAATAAAAAAGTCTAGTAAGCCTCAATGGACGTTTAGTTTACCTCTTTGGTAAAAAAAGGGATCAATTACACGTAATTATTAATAGACAGTTAGATTAAAAGTTGACGGTTAGTTGTCCATTTTGGTAGGTATTGGTTAATCAACTGTCAATTGACATCTCGAGTGAACAATTGACCGTCAAATAACCAACTATTGAATACTCAAGCAATATATTCATGATTATTTTTATATGAGTAATATACATTGCGGCAATTTGTGTCTTCGCATCTTCGAACTCCTTCTCCAATGATGATTACGTCATTCCTTGCCCATCAACAAGTCCAAACTATGATATCAGTGAAAATTCTTGAGTTTGGTAATTAATTTTACAGTACAGTTTTCCAAGTATGTAGGAACTCTTAAGACAGAACACGCTTGCTTTCATGCAATCTTAATGTCATATCTGCTTTAATTTCTCCTAGATGTTTAAAACATCAATGTGTCAATGCATTTCAATTTCTGTAGCTCATCCTTCACGAACGAACCTCTACTTAATATGAAAAAGGATGGTTTGACTGTATCTTCAAGATACCAGTTGTCTAAAAATAACGAAGTGATAAGTCAAATTTGTAAGATGACAGAGAGTCCAGTTGTATCATTTCTCTTTATCTTTAATCTTAATCATTTTGACATTAATGTATTTTATAAAGATATGCCTCATTTTTAATACAGATGATCCGTGCATTTGTTCATTGACGTCATCAGCGATGCAAAAGTTGTGGGGCGGAAGTTTTGTGCATTATCTACTGTTTGACACGCGTACGTGAAATTTGAAAATTGCGTTTAAGTGAAATTATTAAAAAAGAAATATCTGATGTATCTAATCAAAGAGGATACAGACTCCCTTGAGTTGAAACATTGCAGAATCTTCTGTATGTATAAAGGTTTGTGAGTATACACAAATAACCACTTTGTATCATCCTCTATCCTTAAGGTTGGGGATCAGATACATGGAAAGCCTCTTGAAATTCAAGCCGCGGAATTCAGTTAAAAGTAAAATTTTGAATGTGCCATTTAGGAAAGGAGGGTAACAAGGTTCGACAGTCAAGGATCCAGTTGTTTATGGGTGTACTTTGTAAAACTTCACACCAAAGGGATACGCCATCAACTCTTAACCATAAGATACTAATGTCTCAAGAATTTTTCAAAAAGGTTTAAATCTAATATTCGTGTTATCCATACTACCCAAAAGAAAATAGAGATGTTACTCCTAAATAAACATGAAATCCCTGAAGAAGACATCTTTGAATTTGAAACAACAATGCTCATAGCTTACAGAACACATCTGATACTTTACTAAAATTAAGACTACCTTTCCATCAACGTTGGAACGGTTATGAATTCCCTATCATTCATACAAATCCAATGCAAACTCTAAAAATTGAAATACCCGGTAAGCTTCATTTTCGTTCATCTTACAAACTTCAAACATGCATTTATATCTTAGCATGTTTTGTCAATCTCTGCCGTGTCATTAATTGTATAGATTACACATTAACATGTACAGGTGGTGTCAGAATCGATAGTTTATCGACTGGTCCTTTTAAGGCCACACATGTGACATGAAATTAAATCTGACAGAATACTCACCAGACACAATGGTTCGAATCATGTGACAAAAGATGTGGGTGTTTTAGATGAAGTACATTTTAAAACTGGTATTATATCTTTTCAAATTTTGTAATGTAAATTCAATAATCGCGGAGAAATCTTGATAAGGGGTTTCATCTTGATTGCCTCTTATCATGAGGTGTTTACTGGATTTTTGATTTTTCTTTCTTCGTATGCGTATGGGGATTGTGAGAGGGGAAAATCGTTTCGGAGCTTTCTTTAAAAATTCGAACAAACATTTTCAAAGATTTAAAATATCCTAGAATGGTCTTTGTTTACAACTTTGACAAAACAAATTTCATTGTATTAACTAAGTACTTTCTTAAAAATTTCAATTGCCTATTATATATAATTGCTATGTCGTGTATGCTTATCCGTATGTACAACGGAAGATGTTTTGAAAAGTCGAAATAAGTGTTCACTTATGTACTAATTGCGTCATTTTAAACCATTAGGATATTATTTCAAATAGATGCTGTTGCATAATGTTACACGAACAAACGAGTATAAATCACCATGATGAAGCATTATGGAACTTAAACTTCAAAAAGCATTCACTTTGCCTTTTTCAAATAGTAAAGACATATAGTATTATTTATCGAAGCATGGAACATAAAATGTTATATATCAGCTAAATCACAGATTTCTGGGAGCAATCTCTTCTATTTTTGCGATTCCTTGTTCATTGTGAGTAAATATATACAGCCGGACAAATATTGACTCCCTCTTTTTATTAAAAGCCCAAAGGTACTTGATCAACTTTATGAAAGAAACGAAGTGAGTGAATGTGGCCAATGATCCGACAGAAATCCAATCACTGTAACATTTGCATACCATCTACATGGAGGAAATATGAATATTTTTTTATTATGTATAGTGGTAAAAATTGTGCACAGGTGTTATAAATTGAAAGCATTCCACGTGCCGGCTTCATCATCTTAAGAGTGTTTTTGACTTTTTTGCTACTTCGGTTGTACGCTGATTCAAGGTGCGTTCAATTTGTCCGTATCTGACTGTGCAGTGTACTCAACCTTCGGGACAAAATGTGAGTTTAGAAAACATTACCTTTTATTAAATTCTTTTCCTTTTTTGATATATTTTATTTTTCAATTTTTTGAGTTTATGATTAAAAATATATCAAATATAATTATCCCCCTTTACATTAAACATTACATATTGTTCAATAAAGTTTTAACAAATATATTTTTTATCAGTCTTAATATATTATGTACTTAATATTTTACATTTATTGGCCTATATTAAACGTTTCAGATTCAATAAAACATGAACCAGAAGGATATGATCCATAAATTTAAATTAAATTTGATTTTACATAATGAACCCTCTAAAATATGCTACGTTTCATGAAAAAACAGGAAGCAAACTTTTCGTATTGTCGATTTTAATATAAAGTTGATGAATTAAAAGCAGATCTTCAAATTTTAAAGCCAATTCCATGTCTAAGCATAAGATAACGGATTTAGCGAAGGGAAATTGAGATATTGAAACATTACAAACATTAAGATCTTAGACGCACCTCTGATTACAAACAGACTATTAAAGACGTGATTCTTTGAATGTGCAGTTTTGTGGTGCATCCTCTCTAAGCCCTCCAGGAATAGATTTATCTCGTTACGGTATTACTTTAACAGAAGTTGTAGAGGCTGTTTCCCTATCTCTTTTTCCCCCCTTCATGTGAACAAAAACACTGTTTGTAGCTAATGTCTCGATTTTTACCTCTGGTTGTTGAGTAGTGAAAGAGTACTTTGTCTCGCAAATCGTTACCAGTTATGATCTGAATAATGAATGAGTGTAGAGTGTAACTCTGATTAGTGCAAACAGATATTATTCCGGGTCAAAATAACGCGACCGCTTCCGGATAAAAATTACAATTGACGTCTTGCTTTTGAACCTCATGGAATTTTGTGGGATTGAATGAAAAAGTGGGAACGGGTATAAGGTTTTGCCTTCTAGTTATTTTAAGTGTCTTCAAATGCCTAAAAGTAAAAGGAACTATGGTTATACTTGAATGAAACGCTTGAATGTATCTTCCACTCGGATGTTTGTGAGCAGTATAGTTGTAAAGGTGATTTTCCAAAGCAGCTGTCGCCGCAAAAGCAACGCGCGTGCATTTTTTGCAAGGATAACTAGTTCAACACGTGTTGGCCTTTTTTACAGCGAGTACAGAAAAAACAATACTAATATCCTTGGAATATAGATTTTTGATTTTTATATTATAATTATGGACTATACCTGAAGGATTTAGTATGTTTCTGGTGTGGGTGACGTTTGATTCAGACCAGGGTCAAAAGGTGAGGTTTCACTTTGTTTTCTAGAGTGTGATACATGAACGTGGATTTCTAAAATTGGAAAAAAAATTCATTCAAAAGATTATCAGGACAACGAGTACTTTAATAATTCAATAGTTTTCATTTGAGACAATTTGGAGAAGTATGGAATATTGAAGTTTTTTTCAATAATTTTCTCTCAAAAGACAATAACTTTATAATCAAAATGAGTAAAAAAAAAACTCTATTAATGACATGTAGACCAAGATATAAAAATTTTAATGGAAAACTTCAAATGACATAAATTCTCATGGTCCTTACCATGGCTTATATTTTAAAATTTTTAAATAAACAAAATTGAAATCCATCACATAAAAGACGATGTTTAAATAAAAGTTACAATGTTACATCTGTTTTTGCTCTACAAATTAAAAAAAAACTAGAATAGATACATGTACTTATAAAAAAAAGTTCTGTATTATCAAAAGCAATACATGTACTTATACAGATAAAGATTAAATTCTGAGCATTATTTTTTATTTAAAAAAAATAGCTGAACAGTATAAATAAAATACTGTTATCAAATTCTGATAAAAATATGACGTAATATTATTCTTTAAAACAACATGTATCCAAAAAATATTCGAAAATATTTTTTTTATCTTTAGTAATTTTGCATTAACACAAAAACGTCAATTCCGATAATAATCACATACCTGCCCCGCAAAAATGGTGCATCCACAATCTAGGGAAACAAAAAGAAAAATGTAATAAAAAAGATAATACAAGGAATAATTCATTGATAAAGCTTTAACATTGCTTTACCAGCGTATTTTTCCATGTGGAGAAAAATCGCGGAGACTTTTTAAAAAATATTTTTTTGGAAGAAGCGATATACCATGACATATGGACTACCGTCTTCGGATAATCTTATCGGTTACCGTAATATTTCGACATCCATTAATTGTTAATGCTGAGAAGTTGCTGCTTGAGCTATTTCGAAAAGGTGGCATGTGGTTCTATAAACAATTTTTGAAAGAATAATATAGAAGTTAAAAATAGCAGGCTTCAACCTTGATCTTTATCAAACATTAAATAGAAGTAGTTTAACTTTTTTTTAATTTCGAATTGTCATTCAATCTAAATCATATGTTTCTCAATTACCGAAAAAATTCGAACGAATGATTTTTACATCAATTGCATGTGGTAAGGTTGATTACCAAAGGAACACTCAAGTTCCCCATAATTCATTCAATACGATCTCCCTGTGCGTCATAATATTCTCATTTTCAATGAAGCATTCACTCATAATTCTCATGATTATGTATACTTTTGTAGAATATTTATGTCTAAGCCTTTATCTCTACGTCTCTCCTAAACTTTGGCAAATTATTGGTATTCACCTTATTACTGCCCATTAATTAGTTCGTATCAGAAGTCTATTAAATTTATGAGCAGGCAATTTTGCACAATTCCCTGACGTTACTTGAAAATTCATGACACGCATACGTACAATAAAATTTATAGTCAGGATGGATGTTGAATTTGTATAAAAGCTTCATGACTTTGTGTGCTTTTTGACCAGTACTTAGAACCACGGGATTTCTTTGTTAAAGACATCGATTTTTCGATTATTACACGGATATATTCTTGAATTATTAAGGAATCTGTACCTGGTTTTTAGTTTGACCAACCCAACTGAAGGACCTAGGCAACTTTCCTATGAAACACGTGGGTTTCAAAATCGAACCATATGTACCTTATGTGCACCCATGTTTTTCATTTTTTTTTATTGAATCTTCTTATGATTCATTGCGAATTATGAATCATTTTGAGTGATTCAAAAGGTTTACTGATTATATAATTGATGTCTTGTCCAAATTTGGTCATCTTCTTAGTCTGAGATTTGTTGCAGCCTTGTTTGTTTTACGGCTGTTATTTCATTTAATGAATTTACATTTTTCTATTAAAAAATACCTTCATTGACTTTGTTGTATCGAAACCCTTATTATGCAATTTTCGTCTCGAAGTAATAAATATTATAAATACATTATTCATATAGTAGACTTAAGCTTTAGGCATGCATATCCGATGAAGGTTATCGGAAAATGTGACCGGAAGTCAGTTGTCTAAGAAAAAGAAGAAGATGATCTGAAAATTGATTTTTGTACGGTAATCTAAACATTACACGGGGGCATGCTGGTGAATTTTCATAATAGGCCGAGACACGTAGGAACCGTCGACAGATTGTGACATTAATTGTTCCTATTAAATCGTATTCATGTAACGGCCCCACAGAACATAACCTAGCTGACAACGGAAACTAAAGAAGCTATTTTCAATCAATTTTAAAAATTTGTACTTCCGATCTGTCTTCCTTCATTTACCTTCACATTTGTTAAGTCGCGTAAATCAATGTCGTGTTTGCCTGAGGAAAGCTAAAATCCGGAATTCAGATATTTAGCTGGAAAGAAGATTAATAAAAATGAAAGATGATTAAATTATGTAATCATTAATGTGAATACATTTTTTTTTTCATTTACCGTCGTGGTTGTTCCTCTTGGCTTGTTTTCCTGTTATTGCATTCTAAGAACTGAATAGTGGTTTAGTGAAAAATTATCTGTCAAATGCTTTAGAATTACCATTCAGGGTAGAAGAGAAAATGTGTAAGTCTGAATTGTAATCAGACAACATGAACAAAAAAGAAAATATCTCTTTTAACTTGATTTTGTAAAAACGCCAGCATCTAAAAATTAAATGCAGCCAATTCTCTTAGTATGCTTCATTAAAACTGAATTTAATTGGCCAAAAAGAAACTTATTCTATTATTTGACTCCAGCTTATTCATGTTTTATATCTTTAATGCCACCTGCAATGCCTGCTCAGCTGGGTAAAATTTCACCAAAATTACTAAAAAGACTTACAAAAACTAGTTATCGTGATTTGAATTGTAGATTTAAGCACATGTCTTCAAAGTAATGAAACAATGTTGGTAACAATCTTTTAACAACAATTACATGTGCGTTCTAAAATCCGTTTGAACACATCTTTGTTTTTGTCCAAAGCATTTCAGAATAAAGTTATCTATTATAAAAAGTATTACGTTTTCCATTATGCTTGGGAATTTATCCAATTTTGTTGACAAATCAAAATAAATCAAATGCCTTTCATTTGTAACAAGATTGCTTAATACTTCTGAACTAGATAATCTTGACATCTTTGGCAGAGGCATCTATATTGTAAGTTTGCACGAACGTTAATGTTTCATAATCCCCCTACATATGTTTCACTTTGTTTAAAAGCTGTTTAGAGGTGGTTTTTATTCACGCCTGTTTGTCGTTTGGCAGTTTTTATGACAGAGCAAACTGTAATTTACCTTTAATGCGTTTTACATATGTCGTCTGTTTATGATAACATTTTGAAACTTTAAATTGTGTTGATAGATTGGCAGATCTGATGTCTTCCAAGGCTTTAGGAATGCAGTTTCAAGGATAAGAGTCTGTCATCATAAACAATCGTTATGTAAGGGACCAACCGCTTCAAAAGCGATCACTGATATAATGTATTGAAGATCTTATGACTTTTTATTAGTGAGATCATTTTTCATCTACCCTAAAAAGACTTTTTGGGTCTTAATCACTACTCTTAAATATTTTTCAGCAACTGTAATTGTTTATGGCATGTTTTATTATAAGCATATTTTATTATGAGCAGGGTCTTACTGATTTCTCGGAAACTCTTGGTCCAAGCTGTCTTGTTAATTGAGATCAGTAGTTAAGGTTGCGATGCCGGTATATCTGATGCTGACTTGATGAAAACATTAATCGTCATCATGTTCATAAATGCTGAGAAAAAAAATTGGTTTTTTCGTCATGATTAATATGAAATTTTCCTCCTTTTTAGATATTATTTATTTATTTATTTATTTTACATTTGCCCTTTTTACTAAGAGAGTGTTTATATTTATGACTGATGATGAAAAATACGTTGAAATCATAAATCGATCTTGATCCAAGAGCGATAACTCCTGCATGCCCCGGCCGTAACAGGGTTGGTAAGCATCAGTTGTTTGAGTTTAGCAAATAGCTAATTGAAACTCCAATAAATCTTATGGATGCATTTAGATGCATTACGAAGGCATTTGAGATATTTGTGTTTTGCACTCCAGGATGATTTGTGGGATCAATTCTTTCAAGAATTTATGCATGTTCAAGTACAATGAGAAGATGTGATTCATTTCATTTTCTTGCCTTGCACTTTTAAAACCCTCTTTTTAAATAAAAAATATTATTTAAAAAAAAAAAGAAAATTGATTTTGAAATATTACATATACAACTTAGTACTAGGTTAATGTGGATATAGATTTACTTTCTAAAGAGACTTTAATAACCAGATAGTGTTGTCCACCAAAAATGCTCTCATTACGTTAATTCTATCTAACAAATCTGAAAATAAGCTAAAGAAATGCAAATATTTTGAATGATTTGTGAAAAATTCACTTACGAGTGTACAAGCACTTCATAACATATTGGTTCTGTCATAAAGAAAACAGATGAGCACCTCTCCCTCTCTCTCTTTATTAATTTCACAATCTGGCGAATCCTCTTTATCAGTGTAGATGTATGTAAAAATATTTACAAAAGTCATATGGTAATTAAATTCTGAATCTACTGGGTGGCAGTAAATACAAAATTTAAATTTATGACAACTATAGTGTAAAATTTGGTACTTACTGTCACCCCGCCCGTTGAATTCAAAATTTGCAATATGACACAAGGATGATGAATGATTGCAAACATAACTTTCATTGATGCAGGTATTTATTACTTTGATATCGAAGACACTTTATAGAAAGTTTTTTTTTTTATTTTTACAAAAACAAATATCATTTGCGTCTTTAAATTCATGTAAAAATGCTTCATTAGCGGATCAACGTAATATTCTTTAGCAATAACTTTGAAATTATCTCATTTCAAGAATACGTTGACAATTTGTTTTAATGTTGTCATGGTTTAAGCCTCTAA